CTTCTTCGCTCCAAGAGCGGGGGGAGGCGCTGGCTGCGAAACTGAGTCAGACGCAGCAGCAGATCCGAGTCTGTGAGACGGCCATGGTTTTTGCGTTTGTTGAGGTAATGAATGCTAAAAAACAATTCCACCACCATCGTAACTTATACCACAAAGAGTTGTCCACGCTATAGAAATATTTTTCAAAAAACATGGAAGTGGGAAAAAATGCAAGATTGTGTGTGATGTTTTAAATCATCATTTTAAAAAGAATAACAATTAGATGAATAAATATTTTATATATTTGTATGTATATTAATGTTTATGCTTATATATATATTTGTAATAATAATAATATTAATTATTAATAAAATTAAAATTACATACACTCACATCACATTAAGGACAAATTGCTCTAAATGATATCTTACAATTTATTTTTATGAAAAATGTTGTTCTCTTAAACTAGTATTTCTCAAATAGTGGGGCGGGTCCCTCTGGGGGGGCGCGGTGAGGTGCCACCGGGGGGCGTGAGGGGCTACCAATAGAATATGGCACATTGGACATAAGTGTACCACTGCTGTAATGCTTGAATGATAACAAGTCTTCAGCCACTAGGTGGCAGCAACTCATACAGTGGTTTGCACAGATAAAAATATACATGTTATCAGGTTCTCAATAGGATTTCAAGTCACGGAGAAGTGGGTCGGGGGGCTATTAAAACATTTCTGACCCTCTGTTCTGGGTCGCAACCCTCAGAAGGGTCACAAGACATTTTTTTTGGGTAGCCTCATGTTTCTCAGGAGGTTGCTGGTTCAATCAAATGGACTGGGCTACATTTAATGTCCAAATAGGCTACTTATGGATACCTTTTTTGCTGGTTCAATTACTGTTTTTCGTTGTTCAAAACTTAAGTAATACTAATTGTTCAGATATCACTCGGTTAACAAAAAAAAAAATCCTTATTATTGTTCAATAATGGTCAAGTACGCCTTTATTTTGTGATTTACGAATAATGTCTATTAACTTGGGACACGAAGGTTTGTGACTTTGTGAGTCGTCTCTTGTTTCCTTCGTAGGGAACACTCGCCCAGGCTCTGAAGAAGGGACACTGGGTCCTGCTGGACGAGATCAACCTGGCTGCCCCAGAGACCTTGGAGTGTCTGAGTGGACTCCTGGAGGGCAGCACAGGATCTTTGGTTCTGTTGGACCGTGGAGACACCGGTAAGATGCCACTAATAAGTTCTTAATGTGTCAACGCATTAACACTGGTGTCATAATACCAGCGCCACTTTGAAATACAGTGGAACTTGGAGATACGAGCGAGCGTTTGAGCACATTTTTGCTTGGAGATACGAGCATGCTTACAGATGATGATCATGAAAATAAAGCATACAAATCGAAAAAAGCAAAAAAAAAAAAAAGATTGTATTGACTGTATCGTCTGTCTTTTTTCTTATGGGGAAAAATGTTTCGAGATTCGAGCTCGGTCCTGGAACGGATTATGCTCGTATCTTAAGGTTCCACTGTAATTAGCTACTTAGTTCCATTTAAAACCGCGTCTATTTTAATACTATAATTTTACTGTATTTTACGTTTCTAAAACACAGAGCCACTGGTTCGACACCAAGACTTCCGACTCTTTGCCTGCATGAACCCCGCTACCGACGTGGGGAAAAGGAACCTTCCTCTGGGCCTCAGGAACAGGCAAGTTTACTAAGTGAAAGCTGACTTTATTTCAATAGAATAACAGACATTCTGATTAAAGAATAGTTTGAAATATTGACATGGGTGTCCAACAGGTTTACTGAGCTCTACGTGGACGAGCTGGAGAATGAGGGAGACCTGCGTATTCTGGTTATTGACTACCTCAATCACCTGCACCCAAACAGGAATGTTATCAGTGGCATCATAAGGTTTGTCTCTAAAAAAAATGAAGATGACCACATTTATGGTTATAGATAACTGTTATTTATTGTGGTAGAGGTTTTAAATCAGGGGGTGTCAAACTCATTTCCACCAGGGGGCCACATCAGCAACACAGTTCCTCTTGAAGGGCCGGTTGTAAATGGAAGACTGTATAGATCAGGGGTCCCCAACCCCTGGTCCGCGGACCAGTACCGGTCCGAAGGTCATTTGGTACCGGGCCGCAGTGGGACACAGTGGAAAAAATGTATTTCATTTTTACTAATTTGCTTTATTCAACGGCTTGGCGGGCCGCATTTGGCCCCCGGGTGTTTTAAATAATCTAATAGAAAAAAAAGTAACAGTTTGATTGTTTTGTCAGTAAGCTCATCACTTTAAAAAGACTTAAAAGCAACCAATCAGATGTATAAATATAATTTTTACACTATTTAGTATTTTTTGAACCGAGTTGTTTCTTTTAAATATGGAGTTTCTTATGATTTATTTATTATTTCTTATCATTGTAATTTCTTGCACAATAAAATTATTTTCCCTTTAAACCCGTGAGGTGCCAATGCTGCCAAATTGTTAATATTTCTTATAACAATATAATATAATAATAATATAATATATTTTTCAGTTTTTATTTAGCAGTACGAAAAGAGGCCAACTTACACCTGGTGGACGGTACAGGTCACAGACCTCACTACAGCCTGCGGACTCTGTGCAGAGCGCTCAAGTATGTGGCCGCGAACCCGTGCAACAGCGTGCAGCGCTCACTTTATGAGGTAGGAATCACTAAGTGAATCAGATTTTAAAGCGTTATCCCATTCATTCATCTACATGTATCGTCATGGTCTCTCTCTCCCTGCGTTATGGTTGCAGGGTTTCTGCCTGAGCTTCTTGACCCAGCTGGACAGAAGCTCTCATCCACTGGTTCAGAAACTGGTCTGCCAGCACATCCTGATGGGAAACACCAAATGTCTCAAACAAGTTAGTCTGAAGTTTTTGGTCGATGTCTGCATCTCTTCTATCCTGTTTCATTCATCGTATTGTTTTTTTCCCCAGACATATTTAGTGCGTTGAACGTTGTTGAATTTGTTATAGATTTTTATAATATAAATACATTTATACAATAGGAAATGCTGTGATTATTATTTATTTTTAATCCCATTAAGTCCGTGGTTATTTGTCATGGCTCCCCCTTGAGGACAGAAATGTTTTCACGCCCCCTGACCCACACCACCGTGAATTAAAATACTATTGAGAACCTGATAACATGTATATTTTTATCTGTATAAACCGCTGTATGAGTTGCTGCCACCTAGTGGCTGGAAGCAGGTTATCATTCAAGCATTACAGCAGTGGTACACTTACACTCGCACCTCATGTGCATAAAGGCTTAGATGCTAAAATTCTTTCATCATTTAACTCGCACCTCATGTGCATAAAGGCTTAAATGCTAAAATTATTTTATCATTTATTACGCCATCTATTGGGGAAACATGGGGTTTGCAGGGAAAAGGCAAAAATATATAATAATATAAATAAATTATATAATTTTGAAAAGTTTGGTTGACCGGATTTAAAAGCTGAACGGGCCACATCCGGCCCTCGTGCCTTAGTTTGCCCATGCCTGGTCTACAATGAGCTAAAGCAGATAATAAAGTTGGCCATCATCTAAATACATTGTCTTTAAAGACAATGTCAACATCATGTGGACAATGTTTTTAAATGTAGAGTGCCTGTCACTTAAAGTTTTTTTTTTGTAATTTAGGTTAAAAAACACACAATGATAATCTATAAAAAAAGTAGTAAAGGGTCTTGGTGTACATGTCCTTTTTTTCTCCCCCGTTTTTCACAGTCTATCCCAGCACCGGCTGACCACCAGTGTGTGGAGCTCGAAGGCTACTGGGTCTCCCAGGGCGAGATGGAGCCAGCCGCGGACCCGAGCTACATCCTGACTTCCTCGGTCAAGCTCAACCTCCGCGATCTCGCCAGGGTTGTGTCTGCTGGGTAGGAAAATGTTACCGCTTGACCCATCACCTCAAATCCATTAATGCATTTATCAATGTGCATAGTCCAAACAGTCTGATTTTGACTGAGCTTTTATGTAAAAAAAAAAAAAAAAAAAAAAATCCATGGCAGTGCATCAGGATGAAAAAGTTTGGCTCAACCAAACTACCCTGCAGGGAAGTGACCTGCTTTGCACCACATTACCATATTTATTGGGATTGAGGCCACACTGTGTACAAGCAGCAGCTTAAAATAATTAACTTATGTTGAACATCAACATTAGCCACAAATCATCGTTCATCAGGAGCCAACGAAAAAACAATCAACATTTAAGCCAGTTTTACATAAAGCTGCAGCTTCATCTCTCCACCAGGGGGAGCCTCACAATGTTAAGTCTTATAAAATCACCTGCAGTCTTATAAAAATCTTGTATCTGATGTATTGGGCTCACAGGACTCATCCGGTGCTGATCCAGGGAGAGACGTCCGTGGGAAAAACCAGCCTGATTTCCTGGCTGGCTGCAGCCACAGGGAACCAGTGTGTCAGGATCAACAACCACGAACACACGGACATCCAGGAGTACATCGGCTGCTACTCCTCAGACGACAGCGGGAAGTTGGTGTTCCAAGAGGGTACGTTTTGGGGGGGTCACATTGGGGTATTGTAGCCCATCCCTTATAATATAAAAGATAGGAGACCAATGTCTCCTTTCTTTAACTCAGGGGTGTCAAACATACGGTGCGTGGGCCAAAACCGGACCGCTAGGGTCTTCAACCTGGCCCGCTTGATTAATGTACACAAACACTTCATGTTTGGGATATTATTTGTAAAATTATATTACATTAAATATGAATAAATAACTGGGCGCTTTGGCCCAGAGGCAATGTCTCTGTCATTGGTGTGGAACCCCAGGGTTCACCTCCTGGGCAAGTTCGAATCCCGGTTAGGGCGGTACCTTCCAGTGGACTCACCACCCGCAGGAAGGTTTGGTACGGTGCAATGTGATTTGGGTGGCGACTGCTGCCCCCGCGACCCGGTAACGGATAAGCGGATGAAAATGGATGGATGGATGAATAAATAATGATAAATATCGAATATACTTTTACTTGTTTGCATGAAAACAATGGGTAGTAAACATTGACTTGTTATTGTTATTTAAAGTTAATTATATTATAATTGTACTGGTCCCACCCACTTGACATCTAATTAGGTTGCACGCGGCCCGTGAACCAAAATGAGCTTGACACCCCTGCTCTAACACAACACCACACAGTGACATCATATATACCAGGCATGCGCAAAATAAGGCCCGGGGGCCAGAAGAGGCCCGTTTGGCTTTTTAATCCGGCCCGCAAAACGTTTCCAAATTATATAATTTATTTATATTATCATAATATTTCTGCCTTTTCCCTGTAATACCCATGTTTCCCCAGTAGATGGCGTAGAAAATGATAAAAGCATTTTAGCCTTTATGCATGTCTTTTACATGTCACTCTGGCTACGAGCCTGAATAATTTGTGGCGTCCCCGTTTATCTGCCTCAGGCGTTCTGATTGATGCCATGAGGAAAGGCTACTGGATCATCCTGGATGAGCTAAATCTCGCCCCCACTGATGTCCTGGAGGCTCTGAACAGACTGCTGGATGACAACAGGGAGCTGTTTGTGGCAGAGACACAGGAAGTCATCAAAGCTCATCCGAGATTCAAGCTCTTTGCTACCCAGAATCCCCCAGGTCTCTACGGTGGCAGAAAGGTATGATATTCATTTACTGAAATCAAAGAATTTCAATTGTTTCAAATGCGCTACAGATTATTACATGTATTTGTGTTTACTCGTAGCTAATCACATTATGAAAAATCAGAATGTTAGGTGTGAGATTTGACCGCAAATGGCCACCCAGGGGTGTCCAAAAGGCCAGGTGTAGCCTGCGCACCATAGATTGCGTCAAGTTGATGTATTAAATAGCTTAGTTAAGGATATATTTTTCTCTTAGAGGCTACATACATGCATTGTCAATAGCATTTTTCTTTTCGCAATTATTTGACATTTCTCGAGAAAACCTACTCCTTGACTCGCCAGCCAGAATTGGTCCTAAAATTGAAGTTCATGTGAACTAAGATAAATGAGATGTAAAAGTCATGCTTAACGCTAAAATCTTAAAATGCTTTTATCATTTTCTATGCCATCTACTGGTGAAACGTGGGCATTGCCGAGAAAAAGCCAGTAGTATAATTATAGTATAATTAAATTATATAATTTAGAAAAGTGTGGCCGGCCAGAATAAAAAGCTGAACGGGCCGCAATTGGCCCCCGGGCCTTAGTTTGCCATAGTTAATTTTTAATCATTTTGAACTCATTTCTGGAAATATTTCTTATGGACCTACAGGTGCTCTCCAGAGCTTTTAGGAATCGCTTCGTGGAGCTGCATTTTGACGAGCTGCCGAGTGCAGAGCTGGAAACCATTCTTAACCAGAGATGCCACCTGCCTCCATCGTACTGCACTAAGCTGGTCAAGGTCATGCAGGATCTCCAGGTAGACCCGTACCCTATGTCTTTTTTGGATTATCTGAAGGCGTTACTATGACATTTCAGTTCAAACCTGACCACGCCTGCATCATTTTTGTTCCAGTCCTTGCGCAGGGGGTCCTCTGTGTTCGCGGGGAAGCATGGCTTCATCACCCTCAGGGACCTGTTCCGCTGGGCGGACCGTTACAGACTGGAGGAGCAGTCACAGGAATCTCAGGACTGGCTACAGCACTTAGCTGACGATGGTGAGGGGGGGCACTGTCTCTTTGACTGCCTGTAATTTTGGTGTTGTATTCAAACATTAACCACGCTGTCCGCGTCATCAGGGTACATGCTTCTGGCGGGGCGTGTGAGGAAGCCGGAGGAAGAGGCCACTATAATGGCCATCCTGGAGAAGCACTTTAAAAGGACGGTAAACCCCGAAAACCTGTTCTCTCAGGATAAGGTGACAAGTCAGTTTAGTAAGTGAATCTCTTTCTCTGGCAAAACTTATTTGTTTAAAAAAAAAAATTTAATAAAAATATTTTATTTTTATACAAATAATATGATACAGTAGATGTGTTAGTAAATCTAGGAACAATTTTCATTTAATAAATAAATAGTAAATATGAATTTGATCTGAATCTGTATGTGTCAAACTCAGGCCCGGGGGCCAAATCTGGCCCACAAATTTAATTATATTTGGCCCACGAGATCATATCAAATATGTACTAGAGTTGGCCCGACACTATATAGCCCATATATATACTGGGAGGATTTGTAGTATTAGCAGTGTATGTGCTATATTTTAGCGCATACACGGCTATAATATAGCGCATAGCGAAGTTGCGTGCTAGTACGGCTCGCAACTTCGTCCCAGTTTTTATTTTGGCCCACTGTGAATTTGAGTTTGAAACACCTGCTTTAAGTATTTTCATCTATTTCTGCAAAAAATAAAAACAACAATTGAAATGATGCGGGGAAAAAATTGATTTTGCTTGATGATTTTAGACGATTGCATTTGGGTTTTTTAGGGTTTTTTTTTCAGGCCTTCTGTCTAAAATTTTGCATTTGTCCAAGATTGTATTTTCTTATTTTACTGAACGGATTCTTAAAATATCAAAATTAAAATATCAAAAGCAACGAGTACGATGTTTTTTTAAACCCGGGTATGGTCTCGATGCTTTCATTTGTAGGTCCCTTCATCGACAGCATCGCTGGAGTTCCCGAGGAATTTCGCCACGTTGTTTGGACACACGGGATGAGGAGACTGGCGGTTCTTGTGGGACGGGCACTGAAATTCAACGAATCCGTCCTGCTTGTAGGAGATACGGGGTATGACGTTTCTATTCGGAACAAATAAAAAACAAATGCTGTTTTTTTTATACAAACAGTAATGCGGGCACTGAAATTCAACGAATCCGTCCTGCTTGTAGGAGATACGGGGTATGACGTTTCTATTCGGAACATAAATAAAAAACAAATGCTGTTTTTTTTTATACAAACAGGAAAATCTAAAAGTAGGACAAAAATATTTCTTTATCTCCCTCTAGTTGTGGAAAGACGACAATCTGTCAGCTGTTTGCCGCTCTGTCTGGGCAGAAGTTTCTTTCCGTCAATTGTCACCAGCACATGGAGACGTCGGACTTCTTGGGAGGCCTGCGGCCGGTCAGACACACGAATCAGGTAATATAATCGCGAAATTTGTTGGTCTCAGATTTCGGGACGTTACATTTAAGAAATAGACCATTTCAATTTTTACTACGATGTATGCAGGCGAGTGGCGAAGACGGCAGACTGTTTCAGTGGCACGATGGTCCGTTGGTGCTGGCCATGAAGGAGGGTGGAGTGTTTCTCATGGATGAGATCTCCCTGGCAGACGACTCCGTACTGGAAAGACTCAACAGGTATGGGCGCGTCATGCGTTTTATGACTGATTTTACAGACGCACCTCTGACGGTGTGTTCTTGGTTTGCAGTGTTTTGGAGACGGAGAAGTCCCTCGTGTTGGCAGAGAAAGGCAGCGGCGACAATGATGACGTGGAGCTGATCAGAGCAGCGGCGGGTTTTCGTCTGGTTGCCACCATGAACCCGGGAGGAGACTTTGGCAAAAAGGAGGTGCTTGTTTTTATATACTTTTTTTCCCAAATGTAAAAATGTGCTCTACAGATGCCTACAGAACCCAATCTCAAGTTTGACCTTTATTTTCTATGTTATGTGTTTTTGGACAGCTGTCTCCTGCGCTCAGAAACCGTTTTACAGAAATCTGGTGTCCGCAAAGCAATAGCCGGTGTGACCTGATACAGATCATTCAACACAACCTGCGATCTGGCCTTACAATTGATGGTAATTTGTGGCCTACACTTACACTTGTGTGTATGTATATATGTGTATATGTATATACAGTATGTATATGTATATATGCATCTATGTATATATGTATATAAATATATGCATGTATGTATATAAATATATGTATGTATATAAATATATGTATGTATTTATATATATATGTGTGTATGCATATATATATACATATATACGTATGTGTATATGTAAATATATATACACACATATATACATATGTGTGTATGTATATATATTTATATATACACATATATATTTTTATACATATATGTGTATATGTATATAAATATATATAGATGCTGGATGTGTGTGTGTGAATGTGTTTATATCTGTGTATGTAAATATATGTGTGTATACATGAGCTATATGTACATATATACCTCATATATGAGGTACACACAAACATAACTCTCCTATTGTATATTATTTACAATAAAAATATAAATATACAATATACAAATATATTATATGTATATGTTGGTATACTTTTGTATATTTACATGTGTATGTGTATCTGCAGGCTGCGATATTGCTGAGCTGATGCTGGACTTCATCGAATGGCTGACCGAGCAGGAGTTTGGCCGTCGCTGCATCCTGAGCGTCAGAGACATCTTGTCGTGGGTTTACTTTCTCAACACCGTGTGTGAGCGGGACGAGGACGGCTTCATGACCATGGGGGCCCTGGAGGATGAAGAAGAAGCAGAATGGGACCTCAGACTGGACACCGTCACCGCCTTCATCCACGCCGCGTGCCTGGTCTACATTGATGGAATCGGCTCAGGTGAGCTCACGTCTTTGACTTTGACATCTGTGTTTATTGTGTTCGTTAGTCAAAGGAAGAAAGGTCATTGTCTTTTTTTTTTTTCTTTCAGGAACCACAGTGTCATGTGCAGACAACGCCGTTCTCGCGCGCAGGCTGTGCCTCCGCTTCTTGCAGCGGCGGCTGGGCAGCATGACGAAGCTGGACCAAGAGATGCTGGATGCTCTGAGGGTGTATGACAGCAACTTCCTAAGAAAACCCCAGTGGGGCGAAGACTTCTTTGGTATCGACCCATTCTACATCGCTTTAGGTGAGGATCTTGAGGAGACGTTTTTAGATAAGTATATATACAGTAATACCTCAAGATACGAGCATCCCGAAAAACGAGTATTCCAAGATACGAGCAAGCCTTCGAGCAAATTTTTGCTTTGAGATACGAGTAAAGATTTGAGATAGGAGCGAGCTGACAGGCGCTAGGTGGCCGAGTACTTGGAGCAGCCCACGCCGCCTTACGCGTTCACATTTCATTTGTTCGTCGACTTCCGTACGCATCTCCCGCGAGTCTTCCGTATTGTGTTAGCGTTATCTACGTGATTTTCTCGATTTTGTCTGTCCTAAGAGAGTGAGTGGTGAGGATGGTGGTGAGAAGAAGAAACGCATGATGACCATGGAAATAAAGCATGAAATTGACGATAAATATGAGCGTGGTGCCCGCTAATGAAAACAATACAAATCGAAAAAAGCAAAAAATAAATAAATAAAAAATACGTAAGCTAAGTTAAGTTACCCGTAAGTTAATTCTAAGTTTATGTAAGTTACGTAGTGTACGAGTAAGGTACAGTATGAAATCAAGTGTCCACTTACAGGTAGCTAATGGACCGGATTATGCTAGTATCTCAAGGTATTACTGTATATCCAAAAGTAGGAAACATTTTATTTTTGTGAAAGACAAGAGCAATATTGAAAAATCTGTTTTGTTTTCCACCTTGTAACTGAATCAAACCCTTTCTACCCAGGACCTGACACCGAGAATCGAGACCTGTCGGATTACACTTTCGCAGCAGGCACCACTGCGATGAACGCACAGAGGCTACTTCGAGCACTAAAGCTGCAGAGACCTGTGCTCCTGGAGGGGGCGCCCGGTGTGGGAAAAACCAGCCTGGTGGCCGCACTGGCAAAAGCATCTGGAAACCATTTAGTCCGGATTAACCTCTCAGAGCAGACGGTACTTTTTGTTTTGTTTTGCTGCAAAATAGTTTTAAATAAGTGAAAGGATCTGATGTTAGTGATTTGTGTCCTCTGGCAGGATGTGACCGACTTGTTCGGAACCGATCTCCCGGTAGAAGGAGGTAAAGGAGGAGAGTTTGCGTGGCGTGACGGCCCCCTTCTGGCCGCTTTAAAAGCAGGCCATTGGGTGGTTTTGGATGAGGTAGACTTTTTTTTTTTAATTTTTTTTCCCACTTATGTCTTTACATATTTAATTATTTATTAAAATTCTATACTAAACACTGCTGTTCGCTCTTCACTCTGAAAGTTGAACCTGGCCTCCCAGTCGGTGTTGGAGGGCCTGAACGCCTGCTTCGATCACAGAGCCGAGGTCTTTATCCCCGAGTTGGGCATGAGCTTCCAGGTTCAGCATGAAAAGACCAAGATTTTTGGTTGCCAGAATCCGTTCACTCAGGGCGGCGGGCGTAAAGGACTTCCCAAATCCTTCCTGAACAGATTCACGCAGGTAAAGGGACACGCTTTCTAGTGGTATTTTTTTTTTATAATTTTTTTTATAATTCTGCATTAATCACCAGAATTGCCAGTGACAACCTTATTTGAATTTCGCTTGTAATTATATCATCAAAAAATGTATCTTGTATCGTGACATGGTTTTAAATGCCTTCCGTTTCTAGGTCTTTGTGGATCAACTCAGCGGCAAAGACATGGAGTTCATCGCAGGCTCCATGTTTTCCAACATCGATAAGGGAATCATCGCCAAAATGGTGGACTTCAGTAACAGGGTAGGCTTTTTTTGTTCTATTTCAATGTCATGTCAATGTCAACATCAATGAGTCAATGTCACAAAAGGACCGTCTTCGCTCCTTACAGCTTGTCCAGGAGACTATCGTGGAACGACGGTGGGGTCAGAAAGGAAGCCCCTGGGAATTCAACCTGCGGGACATGTTCCGCTGGTGTCAGCTGATGCAGGCCGACCAGAGTCCAGGATTTTTCAGTCCGGGCCAACACGTAGCTTTGGTGTATTCCGACAGGATGAGAACAGAAGCCGACAAGGCTCAGGTACCGGAATTTAGGATCTGGAGTTCAATTCATCGTCAGTATCTTTCTTTAATATAAATGTCTTCCTGTTTCACACAGGTGCTGTCAGTGTTCAGGAAAGTCTTTGGCGAGGACTTTGAGCCGTACAGCGGCTCCAGACAGTTTCATATCACTCCTCTCAACCTGCAGGTTAGCCCAGATCCCAGCAACTCTGCCTGATTTTTTTTTTTTTTTTGCAGTTTCATAAATTACAAAATCAGGATTTTTTTTTTCTCTCCTGGGCTTGGTGTGCGTAGGTCGGCTTTTCAGTGCTACAGCGCAGCGGTGGCGCCCCCGTTGCCCTGGACCCCCCGCTCTCTATTACACATCAGGCCCTGCGGCCGCTGGAGTCTCTGATGAAGTGCGTGGAGATGGGTTGGATGACGATACTGGTCGGGCCCACAGCCAGTGGAAAGACCAGTCTGGTTCGGCTGCTGGCTCTGCTGACGGGACACCGTCTCCGCGTCATGGCCATGAACAGCGCCATGGACACCACTGAGCTGCTTGGAGGCTTTGAACAGGTAAGAACTGGGTCGTGACCCTTAAGTGGGTCGCAGGAGATTTCTTTTTGGGGTCGGGGTCGTCTCGCATCATGTTTTCCAGAATTCCAGAGTTTACGAATAATGTCTGTTGCCTTAGGTCGTGAAAGTTTGTGACCTTTAAAATATGGGTCCCCAAAAAAAAAAGGTTTGGGAAACACCGTTTTAGTCCACCCGACCTCTGCGTCTGAAGGTAGAAGTGCGTCTCAACTTGTCCTCCGTTTAGGTCGACATCATGCGACCCTGGCAGCAAGTGCTGGAAAGCGTCGACTACATAGTCGCCATGGTGATAAGACGCGGCCTCATGTCGCTGGACGTCGGCGTTCAGGACACGGAGTTCCTGCTCAAGACCTGGGGCCTGTTTTGCGACTGGCTGAAGGAGAAGGAGATGCACAAGAACGGAGGGACGATAGATGCGGAGGCTCTGAACAAGCTGGAGGTCATTATCCTGCTGCTGCAGAAGCTCAACATTAAACTGAAAGTCTTCACAGGTAAGGTCCAAGGTGCTCGTTCAGTTTGACAACATGATCCGGAATCCTGAATATTGAAGAGAAGCCGTGTAACAATTCCCATCCTTGTCCCCCAGACATGTCCAAGCTCCAGATGGACTTCACGCTGCTGAAGGAGCGCCTGGTCCAGCTGGAGGACGGCTGGACTAATGGAGGTTTTGAGTGGTTGGACGGTATGCTGGTCCAGGCCCTGCAGGCTGGTGACTGGCTGCTCATGGATAACGTCAACTTCTGCAGGTGAAGACATCGAAGGTGTCTGTACAGTAGTACCTTGAGAGACGAGCATAATCCGTTCCAGAACCGAGCTTGTACTTCCATAAGAACTTCCATAAGAAATAACAGGAAAAAATTAATCCGTTCTGGCCCTTTAAAAAAATTCCCTTATTAATGCTAATAACAATGGAAAAATTTAATTGCTATAGAGACATAAACACACACACCCACACAATTATAGTATATAAGGATTCCTGTGATATAAAATAAAATGTGGTTTTAATTATGAGTTCTTACCTTCGCGACAGACGATACAGTAATCGAACGGGAATCCATTCCGCAGAAGTTTCGCTATATCGCAGTATTTTACGGTCATTTTTTTCTTTCCAATATTTTTATTATTTTCATGAACATCATAAAAAAAACATTTTCAAACCTAAGAAAAATTAAGTAGAGGGAAAAGAGTTGACCCGTACGTAGACACTTTATTCTGTACCATACCTTACACGTACACTACGTAACTTACATCAACTTAGAATTAACTCATATTTCATATTATCGACAATTTTCTGCTTTATTTCTATGGTCGTCATGCGTTTCTTCTTCTCACTACCATCCTTACCACTCACTTTGTTAGGACTCATCACTATTATGAAGAATAATGCACAAAATAGAGAGAAAATCACGTAGCTAATGCTAACACAATACGGAAGACATGCGGGAGATGCGTACGGAAGTCGACGAACACCTGAAGTGAACGAGTGAGGCGGCGTGGGCTGCTCCGAGTGCTCGGCCACCTAGCATCGGCGTCTGTAAGCGTGCTCGTATCTCAAAGCAAAATTTACTCGTAGCCTTGCTTGTATCTCGGAATACTTATATGTCAGGATGCGCGTATCTAGAGGTATTACTGTAGACTTTTAGAATCTGTGTTTTTAGTACTGATAAAGTTAGGCAGGCTAAGGAATGTCAGGTTGACTTACCAAGACTAAAATACACCCCCCCAGTTTTCTAGTAAAAACAGACGAAGCTCACCACATCATGTTAACATACCTTAAATGTATACCACGTTGTAGCGCCTCGGTGCTGGATCGTCTGAACGCTCTGCTGGAACCTGGTGGAACCCTAACCATCAACGAACGTGGCGTCATCGATGGAAAAACCCCTCAAATCACTCCGCACCCTAACTTTAGGTAAATGTTGAACCAATGAACCCAAACATTCTGTTGAAGTCATTCAAGGTTTCGAGGTTCACGATTGTGTTATTGCGTAGGTTGTTCCTGACCATGGACCCTGTACACGGGGAGCTTTCACGAGCCATGAGGAACCGAGGGGTTGAGGTGTACATCCCAGGGGAACACGAGGGCGTCTGCTGGGACACGCTAGACCTGAAGACCCTGCTCCACACCGCTGGGGTCACTGGAGACTGTGTGTGCGATTTGCTTATTAAAATACACAAAAGCATCAAATCTGCTATCTGGGGTAGGTACTTCAAAGTGTGAGTAATAACTGCTCTCTGGATAGTGCTAACTCCAGTTGTCTGTGTTTAAGATTCCCCTGCCTCGTCAGTGGCCTCTCTCCTCTACGCTGGCACTCTGTTGTCCTGTCAGCTGCACAGAGGTGTGGATCTACCCAGTGCCCTGCAGCATGCCTGCGGAGAGGCATACGCCTTGTGCCAACGAACCACTGCCAACCAGAAGGTGCCAGTTTTTTTTTTGTTTTTGTTTTTAGCCTTAGTTTTTGTCATTCCATCAACATATTTTAATGTTTATTTGTGTATTTAATAGGGACGTCCGATAATATCGGCCGTCCGATAATATCTATTACCTACCCGATATTAGCATTATTATGTAATATCTGTAAGAATCGTTATCGGTTTTTTTTTTCTCCCCTAATGAAAACCCGACAACGCAGTGCTTGGGTTTGGCCAGACATTGTGACCTAAAAATAGTTTCGGGGATAAACGGCTGTACATTCAAGTGAAAGTCACTAGATGGCAGCATTGCAGCTCATTTCATTAATTTATTTTAATAATCAGGGGATTGTGTGCAGAATGATGGTGCCAGCCACGCATACGGTGGTTTGTACAGATAAATAAATAAATATTTCAAACTAAAATGTGTTTTTTAGGGATGTCCGATAATATCAGTTCACCGACATTGGCCTGATATTAGCATTATGTTATATCTGTAAGAATCGTTATCATTTTATTTCCTCTAATGAAAACCTGATAACGCAGTGCTTGGGTTTGACCAAATATGTGACCTAAAAATAGTTTCGGGGATAAACGGCTGTACATTCAAGTGAAAGTCACTAGATGGCAGCATTGCAGCTCATTTCATGTGATTTGTACAGATAAACAAATAAATATTACCACGCCTATATCGGTGTCAGTTGACGTCGGAATCGGAAATTAAGTGCTTGGACAATATCGCCATATCAGATATCGGCAAAAAGTTAATATCAGACGTCCTTTAGTCTTTGTTTGTTTTATTAAAGTTTATTAAAATTTGCAAGGTATTAATCATTGATTTGCTGTATTTCTCTTCTGAACAGCAAGCTCAGCAGATAATTGAGCAGCAACTGGCCGTCCTAGACACCGAGGACTGGGGAAGCGGGCTGCTGTGTGCCGGAGTTTGGCCCGACGGCTTCCCCTCCGCACTCCTTTCCACAGAGGATTCTTGCTTTTCCACCGTCCTCAGAGACGGTCAGGTGCTCTCATTCTGTCTGAACAACCTCAGCCTGCAGGGCAAGCGGTGAGGATTGTAACAGTTATTACGTCCAGTCCATTGTCAAAAAATACAATAAAAACACTTAATAATGACTTTGTTTCCACAGCAACCGTCCATTGAGCCTCAGCGACCTGAAGAGGGTGCTGCAGAGCAGTGGAGTCCACGACGGCCTGATATTTTCCGAAGGCGTAGTGGATCTGGAGGAAGGAGACACCCTGAGGTTAATTCCTACCGCGGTGAGACTGGTCACGGAGAGGGCGTCTCACGGAGACTGGATTCTCCGCAGCAGCTGGCTAGCACACCTCGGAAAATGCTACAAATACGTACCTGGTCTGTTTTTCTACTTTTGATTAATACAAGAATTTAAAGTTTTTTTAAGTAATAATTTTAAGGTGATATTACTTTTATTCTACAGATTCAGCATTGGTCCAGGTGGAGGCAGGGAACCGGGCGTTGAAGTCCGTGTTCGGCAGCAAACTCGCCGCCAAAGGCAAGTCACTGGCGGAGTTGCTGCAGCCTCACAGCACAGGTAAACACGATCGGATTTTGAACTCTCTGGAACTGTTAATGCCACTAATAATTCTGTCTTTATTTATATGGAATGGCAATCGAGGATGATAAAACAAAATGTAATGGTCATGTTGCAGATGAATACAGGATTCTGGTGGATATGCGATGGAACAAACAGTACCTGGACATTTTAGCCAATAAGTGCAGCTTTGAGGATGAGGAAAGATACATGGAGTTTTTGGAGGCGTTGAACACAGTAGCTAACAGGTGAACACTCTTACAATGGTATTTTCCAATGTTATTAATTAACGTTATGTGTGCTGAAGCTCAACAAGTCGTAGTAGTAAATGTATTTTGACGTATAGTGTATGTAAACAAAGTCCTTTGTTGTGTGTGTTAGGATCGCCCTGATGATGGACAGGGAGGAGAGATCAGTCGTCTGCTCCTGTGCCGTCAACCTGTCTTCTCAGAACTCTGCACTGAGAATCGCCTCAGCGTTCAGCAAAGGTATTCATTGCTTCACACCTTTAGAGTAGAATAGAATGAAATAGCCTTCATTGTCATTGTAACACGGCGGTACAACGTAATTGAAGACCAAACATACAGTGGTCCCTCTCTGTATCGCAGTTCTCCTCAGTACATCGCAGATTGTTTTTTAATCCGTTCCGCAGAAGTTTCGCGGTATTTTACGGTAATTTTTCTTCTTTTTTTTATTTCCAATATTTGTATTATTTTCATAATAAAAAACATTTTCAAACCTAAGATTTCTGTTACGAAGCCCAAACGAAGACGCTGACACAGATGGCAGTTAACAGCCTTTTTTTTCCTTTACAATAATGTGCACTCCTGTGCTGTGCCCGGCTTTTATATACGGTCCGTCCGTCTTGGCCAGTATGCACTCCTCGGTTCATTCTCCTCTTTCCTTGGTCCCGGCTCCAACTAATATTAGTAAAGTCTTGATTACTCCAATTGCGCTCACCTGTGTCGCCATTCCCGCACTCTCCCTCCTGCAGCTAAGCGCTAACCTCCGCCGCGTCGTGCCGCGTCCCGTTCATTTATTGACATAATATCTATGTCTACTGTGCATATAATTGTGTGGGAAACAGTGAACAATGTAGGGGAGGTTCGTAAAGGGCCTCTTACAATGGTATTTTCCAATGTTATAATTAACGTTATGTGCTGAATTCAACAAGTCGTAGTAGTAAATGTATTTTGACGTATAGTGTATGTAAACAAAGTCCTTTGTTGTGTGTGTTAGGATCGCCCTGATGATGGACAGGGAGGAGAGATCAGTCGTCTGCTCCTGTGCCGTCAACCTGTCTTCTCAGAACTCTGCACTGAGAATCGCCTCAGCGTTCAGCAAAGGTATTCATTGCTTCACACCTTTAGAGTAGAATAGAATGAAATAGCCTTCATTGTCATTGTAACACGGCGGTACAACGTAATTGAAGACCAAACATACAGTGGTCCCTCTCTGTATCGCAGTTCTCCTCAGTACATCGCAGATTGTTTTTTAATCCGTTCCGCAGAAGTTTCGCGGTATTTTACGGTAATTTTTATTCTTTTTTTATTCCCAATATTTTTATTATTTTCGTGATAAAAAAACATTTTCAAACCTAAGAAAAATTAAAAATTTAGCAAAAAATAAACTAGGAACGCAGCATTGTGTTGCTCACGCTGATTGGCTCATGCATCGTAGTGTCTCTCAGCATCTCCCCTTGTCTGTCGACCACTCTCTCGTTCACTGCTCTGCGTCGCCATTATACAACTCTACTGTGCATATAATTGTGTGGGAAAGGGTAATACAGTCTAGGGAGGGTTGATAGTGTGGTGGATGTTCCTAAAGAGTAAATATATATGATAATAATATAATAAGTATCTCGCCTCTACTTTGCGGATTTCCCCTTTTCGCGGTGGCTCTTGGAACACAACTACCATGATAGGTGGTGGTCACTGTACTTAAGAATTTTTTTTTTCCTCCTGCAGGCACCATTGACATCGGTCACCTGCCACATCCGGTGCTGATGCACCTGCAGAACTTCTTCGACCTGTGGAGCTCCTTCACCCTGCAGGCTGTGCAGAGTGGGCAGAACTACATCTCAGACCACATCAGGTTTGAGGTGAAGTGTCATTTTTGGGATGAATGTTGACTGTGACTTTAAAAAACAACCACCTTCTCTTGTCGTCGTTGACTTTTTTTTTTTCTTTCTTTCTATCCCGTGTTCAGATCCTGCAGTTGCTACAGTGGTTGGATCGGTTCTGGGACGTGTGCACCACGCTGTCGGCGGACTCGCAGGGAATCTCTGTGCTGTCTCTGCACTGGCAGTGGGTGCAGAAGCATCTCATCCTGCGGCTGCCGCAGCTGCTGCTGGGCGAGACGGATGAGCCGTTTGAGTAATTTATTTATTTTTTTACTTAATAATTCGAAGTAATATATATTTATTTATTTTTTTACTTAATAATTCTAAGTAATATATACCATTGTTTCACAAACACTGGGTCGTGGCCCTCAAGTGGGTCGCAAGATTTTTTTTTTTTGGGGTCATCTCGCATCATGTTTCCCAGGAGTTTACAAATGTCTATTGACTTGGGTGGCAAAGTTTTGTGACTTTTAAAATATGGGTCACCAGAAAAAAAAGTTTGGGAAACACTGATATATACTATTTAATCATTCACATAGAAATTTCTGAATTTAAATAATGTAATTTTTTTTTTTTCCCAGGGGTCAACAGGAGCTTCAGGTGATCTCCGCAGCCATCCAGACTGTTCTGTCCACCCCAGTGCCTGTCGCATCAGCTATTAAAGGCATTCAAAAAACACTGGGGAAAGCACTGCCTTTCAAGGTAGGGTATAAGCTCTGAGTTAGATCTATGGCATATGTTTTTGTTGTTTTGTTTTCCTATACTAAACAATCACCTCTTTGTTAGTTGGAGTCGGTGGGCAACTGTGCGTCTCAGCTGCGGCTCTTAAGCAAGGCCCTGGATGTGAGTGATCTGAGACTCGACGGCACACACTTTGCGTGGAGGCAGGAGCTGATCCGACTGCAGGGCGCCGCGCTGCGGCTGGACGTCAAAGAGAGCCTCCTGGAGGCCTACGGCCTTGTCCTGCTGGCCAACAATCAGCTCGATCCACAGACTTCTGGTGAGTTCGGTGTCACGGAAGGATCAAGTCTGTCTTTGTGTTTTACTGCTTTAGTTGACGAGGAAGAGATCAAATCTGTCTAAAGTAAAGTAAAAAAAAATCATATTTAAGAGTGATCAAATCTGTCTAAAGTAAAGTAAAATTTTTCATATTTAAGAGTGTGTTTAATTTTTTTATATTTGTTCTTGTAGTTTTAGACATTTTATTCTCAGATATTTCAAAGTATGTATACTGCCGGGTAACTAGTACATATTTAATATGATCTCGCGGCCCAAATATAATTACACCGCGGGCCAGATTTGGTCCCCGGGCCTCAGTTTGGCACATTGGTTTTGCGATGTATGACTAATTATAGTGTTGAAATACACTTTTAACATACAAATCAATACTAAAAATGTATTTGAAAAGTACATTAAGTTTCCAATCCCTTCTCCTTCAGGAGTGCTGGAGAGGTTAATTTCCAGCGTCAAGCAGCAGCATTGTCACATGACCTCCACAGGCCTGTTGGAGCGTTACTCCATGTCTGAGGATGACGAGCAGGTGGATGGCGTCCATCTGGCCAGAGAGGAGCTGCAGCAGCTCAGTCGCAGAGTGCAGCTGTGGCCCCTGATGGAGGAAGTGGCCGTGCTCAACCAGCTGCGGCTCAGCACTGACCTGCTGCACATGGCTCTGTCACCCAGGTGAGAATCTGCCTCACGCTCAGAAAACATCGGCCTCGTAGCATTCAGACCAAATGACCAACATTTTAAATAACCCTTCGCATTGATTCCACAGTGATCCGGAGGTAGAGGACAGTTTACGTCGGGAGTTGTCCCGACACCTCCGTTACTGTCTCCAGTCCACCCCCATGAATGTCAGCCAGCTGCAGCCACTCTGGTTCCTGCTCAGCAGTGACAAGGTGAGATTTATCGGATTTACTCAGAGAGCGGTCAAACAATAGAACCTTGTTGATGACAATGTAGCTGTTGATTAATCACTATTAATTACGATTAATCATGATCGTAATTAATTGTGATAAATCTAGAGCAGGGGTGTCAAACTCATTTCCACCAGGGGGCTGCATCAGCAATACAGTTCCCCTTAAAGGGCCGGTTGTAAATGGAAGACTGTATAAGTCAGGGGTCCTCAACCCCTGGTCCACAGTACTGGTCCAAAACTAATTTGCTTCTGGGCCGCAGTGATACACAGAGGAAAAAATGTATTTCATTTTTACAAATTTACTTCATTCAAAGAAAATCCAGTCATATCCATTTACTTTCTTTATTTTAAGATAATCTGTCAATATTTTTTAAATAATAGGTCATTCCGACTCTGATACAAACAGAATAGAGTGTAGTAGATGTTTTTTTGTTTTTTTTTTTTAATGTAATGATCTGTACTACTGTAGTAATGGTTGGTACTGGCTGACTGGTCCCTGGAACAAAACACTGTAGTAATGGTTGGTACTGGCTGACGGTCCCTGGAACAAAACAATGTTGGAGACCTCTGGTATAGATGTAACTACTCCATAACAGACTAATACATGTTTCACCAATTGATTATTATTTATTCAAGCTACAAATATTGTTCATTGCTTTGAAATAAAAAAAACTTTTAATTACTTAGAAAGTACTAGTTAGAAACTCTGCTGCATGGACTTTACTAAATGCCTTTTGAGCTCCCGCGGGCCACACAAAATGGTTTGGCGGGCCACATTTGGCCCCCCGGGCCTTGAGTTTGACACGTGATCTAGATAATATGATATATCTAGATTGTTTTGGTTTTTTTTATTGCTGGTACATAAAGAAAACTGTCATATAGATGTATGTGGTTTACACTTGGTTTTTGAGACTGTTTTTTAAGAATTATTTTACTCAAATATATATATATATATATCATACATATAACATATATGTATATATATATATATATCATACATATATATCATACATATATCATATACAGTACATATATATATATATGTATATATATATATATATCATACATATAACATATATGTATATATATATATATATGCTGGATATTTGTCAATATGTTTGTCAATGTCTTTGTTGTTGCCATTTTCCATTATATTGTTAACAAGCCTACGGTATTATTAATGGTCGTTCCCTCTTGCAGCCAGCAGAGGACCTACAGTTTGTATGGTGCGAGCTGCTCTCAGAGGCTCTGGCCGCATTGTGGACCAGCTACGTCACCTCAGACCCAGACCGCTGGTTGAAGTGGGACCCAGTAAAACCTGAAACACAGCCTGGTCCGAAGCTGCCACATAGAGCAGATCACATGGTACTAGATTTTAACCTATTATTGTTGCCGCAATATCCGACAGATTTTCTATGTATGTTTTTTTTACTGAACAGTCCCTTTTTTTTTTTTTTTTTTTGCCAGGGTCCATCCTTGTTGAGTAAAGCAGTTTGGTCACATTGCATGCTGGGAGTGTTCATGAGCAGCAAGACCGGTGAGCGATGGGAGCCGTCAGCAACGGCCCTTCTGTCGTTCTCCGACGTCACCTTGGGAGAGTGGAAGGAAAGAATCCAGCAACTGCAGGAGGTGTCTGCCGTCTTGTGGGACAACATGGCCATGCCCGCACTCGCCGAGTTTAGGTACAAACATGCTTAATTTTGTTTTTCTCTATCTCATGAATAGGGAAATTCTGCAATAAGTTTAAATTTAGCAGCATGGCTTTTAGACACGTACAGTATTACCTCGAGATAAGAGCATAATCCGTTCCAGGACCGAGCTCGTAACTCAAGGTGCTCGTATCTCAAATCATTTTTTTTCCCATAAGAAATAACAGAAAAAAAAAATCAATTT